CTTCAACGCCACCGCAGCCTTTCAGCCGCAGTCGTTCACCGACGACGGCGAGACCGACGGACCAAACTTCGTACTCGTCCAGCAAAATATGACCGCTGATGGCGGCTATGATCGGGTATCAGAAGTGCACTCTCTTGAGAATAAGTCCTATTTTAAAAACACGACCGACACTTTCGGCCAATACATACCGGAATTCATTAAGGACATCGACCGACACCTGTATATCAACGCAATATTGCCCACACGTATCGGCGAAGACACCGAAGAGGGCGATCCCGCGGCCATTCTTATACTCTTTCACGAGGGAAACATCAAATACTGCGTAACCGAAGAGACAGCTCTTCACGAAGATGTCGGTCATATTTTTTGAAATGATTGATTTGATTGCGATTTGATGTTTTGTATTTGTTTTTTAGTGTAAACCCGAGAATTTGAGGCAATTGTTGAGATGTCCGTTTGCAAGGGATGAGGTATTTGTTTGTTTGCTAACATGTATTAGTTTTCCACTATTAATTAATTAAATGTCATATTTGTTGTACTTTATAGCTATAATATCGGGTGATTTTGGCGTATCACTCGACTCAATGGATTTAATTAATTATAATTAGTTATTGTTATGTTACTCAAAATTAACTTCTTATAATTGCTTTTGGAAAACAAACTTTAATTAAGTTTTGTTGTTTTTTGTAGTGTTTTTATTTTGATGAAAATAAATTAATTTACATAAAAGCTTTGTTTATATAAACAGAAACAGAGATAATCGGATAAACGTGTTTAATAACTACCGGTGCGGACGAACCCAGATATTAATAGCTATATTTAGCCCAACAATTGTGCCTTTGATATGAATTGCGAGATATATTATAAGTTATGATTAGTATCAGAGACTTGTATGAGAGGAATGTTTTCAGACTTAATTCAAGTCAAATGAACAGAAATGTAAACATAATTATAAGTTATGAGTGAATTTGTTTGATGACATGCATTGCCATTTTATTTCCATAATTTATTTCATATATAGATATCATTTGCTTTTCATTTTACTGGTAATTACTATTCAACGGATTCTTTAGAGAATATATACACAGAATATTCTGCTAAACATGTAATCGAATTAAATAATAAAATTGGATTATATTTATGCAGAATATTCTGCTTAATAAGTGTAACCTTCGGTTAATGTAAAGGATTTGTATATCATTTCTGTTAAAAAAAACTTCACTACAAGTATTGCGAGAAAATATCTAGTCTTTAGGTAATAGGATTTGAGTGACATTATTATGCATAAAAAGTAGAGGTATTTAAGAAAATAAATACATTTTATATATTATATAATAATGTATAAAACATTATGTAATAAAAATGTTAAAAGACAAGAGATGAGGACGAGATGAATGATTTAAATTAATGATTACAACACTTGTGG